ATTTTCCTCCTTCCGCCAGCCTCCCTTGGTGGGGGGAAATCTTGAATGGGGCTGGAAGATGGTCGGGGAAGCGCGTCCTCGGAGCGCGGTAGCCTGTGTCGGGGGGTGTCTGTCGGCTTCGGTTTCGCGATCGGTGACGGGCGCTCGGTCGGGACCCGGTGCTCGGTCGGGACCCGGTGCTCGGTCGGTGGGGGGAGGGGGGGATGGAGGGGAGGGGAGGCCCTGATGGCGGGGTCGACCAGATCGAGAGAGGAGCTGTGGGCAGCAAGGAGCAAGCAAACGAGCTTGCCTCGAACTGGGGATGGACGGATGGACCTTGGAGGATTTCAAGACCTAAATAGCACCAAGGGGGGGGTGATGCTCGGAGGGGAGATCAGCTCGGCTCAAGGCCATTGAAGGCCGAGAGGCATGTAGAATGAGTCCACGAAGCTCTCTAGACGGACCACTGGCGATCAGTCCATCTCGTGATGGGGAGATTCTGACAAACGGGGAGATGGTGGTTGGAGGAGAGGGATGATGGAGGGGCAGAGGAGGGCGGAGAGCAGAGGGCAGAGGGCAGAGGGCGGAGAGCAGCAGGGCAGGAGAAAGATGGGGGCAGCTAAGTCGAGCTGCAACGGGGCTCTGACAGGCAGGCGCGAAGCGAGCACAAGTGGGCTGATTGATGGTGATGGTTGCCCGCTGTGTGCTGTGCTGTTGGTGCCTGCTTCCGTGTCTGCTGCAGTGAGCCCCGCCTTCAGCGCTGGTGCCTCCTACCTCTTTGGCACAGACAGCCAGCTAGCTCGGTGCATAAGGAAAGGGCCACCCGGAGCTCTACTTGTGACATCATGAACCAGCAGCCATACATTTGATTTGATACTTAACACTTAACACTTGACACTTGACGATTTGCATTAAAACGGACTAGACCTACCAAACTGCCCACAGTCCAACCTGGTTACTGACAGATCACTTCTCATCTTCGAGTGAGGTCAAGTCACGAAGAGCCGGATAACACCATGTAAAACATCGTGCGCAATGAAACATCTACGCAATAAAACAGCACCTATGTATGCGTCTACGTGTCCGTGTGATCAAATGCCGACGCCGCGCTCAACCCAGGAAGGATCACAATGCTTTGGTCCCCTACTCGTACAGCCCAACCGCCTCTCGCGAGCCCAACACAAGACACAAGAAAGCGGTGCGCGAGATGCTGTGCACCTGTCTCGCCTGTCCCAAGACAGGGAAAAGGAGCGACGGCATCAGTCCCGCTCGCCTTGCTTTTCCTTGCCGTTGTTGCCCTTCTTCTCTCCAGACCGCTTCGGCTTGCGCTCAGCGCCGTCTTCGTCGTCTTCGTCGTCTTCCTCCTCGTCTTCTTTCTTGCCGCTGTTCTTCTTCTTCTTCTTCTTCTCCTTCTCCTCCTCGAGCACCTCCTTGACCTCCTCGCCGCCGAGGTCCACCATCTCGTCCCAGTCGACGTCGTACTCGTTGGCCACCATCTTGATCTCGCGGCGCAGCGCATTGGCCTCCTCCACGAGCCCCTCCCACTTCTCGTAGTTGAACCCGCGCGCCGCGTACAGTGCCTCCTGCCGCTTCGACAGCGTGACCTTCATCGCCGCCTTGTAGCTCAGCTCCCGGCTGACGTAGAGGAACCACATGTAGCCGCCCATGATGGTCGTCAGGCCCACGAGGTACGTGACGGGCTCGACGAGGTCCCAGCCGGCGTCCGTGTGGAACGTCACGTAGTAGACCGTGCCCCACCACCCGAGCAGCATGGCGAAGCCGCCCTGCGCGATCCGGTGCACCGCCTTGTGCGCCAGCTCGTCGCAGTCCTGCTTGATCTTGGCCTGTGACTCGACGCGCCGCGACATCTTGCGCAGCCGCACCCGCATGTAGTACGTCCGGTCGTTGAAGCTCGGCACCGCCACCCGCAGCTCCCTGTCGTACCCTTCAATGGCGACGGCGAACTCGCGCCCGCGCGCCGCGTCGCGGATAAAGTCGCCAATCTCTGTGCTGCTGCTCCACTTGACCCAGTTGGCCTCCGAAGACGCCCGCGCCGGCCCGTCGTGACCGAGCCCCGAGTACGACGACACGTTGCCCTCTGGCTTCTTCGTCGCGTTGATCTGTCCCTTTTTCGTCTTCTTCGACGGCTTCTTCTTCGTGCTCTCGTCCTCGCCGAGGTCGGCTTCGGCGCGGAACGAAATGGCGGGAGGACGCTGCACGTTGCCGTCGACGATGGGAGGGACTTCGGCCTGCAGCAGACGCTCAATGTACGAGAGCGGCTGGTGTGGGTGTATGAGCAGGGCGAGCGGCTGGATCTCCTCGTGCTCCTCCCTCGCGAGGGCAGCCTCGGATTTGCCTTCGTCGTTCAGGTTTCGGTCTGCCTTGTCGGCGTGCAGAGGGAGCGGCAGGATGAGCTTCAGGAGCCGCGTCGGTGTTGTGAGCAGTCGCCCTGGAAGGAGTCAGTATTTCGTTGTAAAGCATGATCACCTAGCTCCTTCTCCCTGTTGGCTCACCTCGCGTCTTGTCGCCGTGCGTTGGGTCGGGCGACGAGCTCGGCGGCTCCGCTTCGCTGCCAGCCCGGTGCCACGGTCGATGAGCCTGTTTTCGTCGGGCGAACTCTTCGCTAAACTCCTGTTCCTCTTCGTGAACAGCCTTGTGGCTCAAATCCTTGGCCTTGGCGCCTGGGTCTGGCTCGATGCCCTGGGCCTGCAGGGCGCGGCTGACAGAGAACGCGCGGCCATTGTCTTGGTATCGTGCGTCCCGGGAAGCCGGAACAGCTGGGCGGAAGGGTGTTGCTGATCCTACCAATGGCAGCGACCGGCAGGTGGCTGTCAGGGACGTTGTAGATCGGATGTCAGGCCATCGGCAGCAGACGCGACGAAGTGCAATGCTCATTTCGTCGTCGATTCGATGGAGAGTGCGTGTCTTGTGCAGTTGCAGCTCGATCGTGTCTGTCTGTCTGCTGCTTTGGCCAGGTCCTGTCCTCAGAGGGAGACTAATGCCCAGACATACCGTCAAATAGTAGTGATTTGGACCTGGAGCTTGTCGCGTGCATGCGCTGCCGTCATGACGTCAACCGCGAGCAGTGCATCACGTGAATCCGGAGACGCAGCTCCTTGCCGCAGGTCGAGCTGTCAAACTTGGCTTCCGCTCGCGTGCCAAGCTAAAGCCATTTGTCACGCGACCCGGAAGAAGCCCGCCGGCTGCGGTTCCTGGGGCTTCGATCGAGGCTGTGTAATGTCCGTTGCCCTGTTTTTTCATGGGTTTCGGAGACTGGCCGCTCTAATGACGATGGTCGGTCGATGTCAAATCCAGCGAACAAGCTCAACGCTAGACAGCGATAACGCCCCGAGACAGAGATATGCAGACCTCCATAGATAAATATCCAGATCCTGCCAAGTGTATACTGTATTGCTGCATACAAGCTCTCTTTCGCAAACAGGGGGCGGAACTTGTGATACACCTGGATGCACCTGGATGCACCCCACGACCGCGTCGTCCTGATGCCAAGGAAGCCTCACCGTACACTTCTATTTTAGGATGAGTACATCTCTTACACATGCTGAGCTTTGCAGGCCGCTCGCACAGCGATCAACAGGGACACACCGACGCAACGCAGTTCATCCAGCATACCCGACGACTACTTGGTAGAGAGCAAGAAACCAGCGCTCTGAATCTAGCCAGCGTCGTGAGATTCAACGTTCCGAGCAGGTATCAGAACACGTGGACTGTCCCTCTTCCGCATCAAATGAGAGCGAAATTTGTTCGTTTTACATACTGATGAATGAAAGGGGCGTCAATCAGCATCACAGAAAAGACCTAGCCTTCGTTCACAGGTGGTGCGAAGGTCACGTCTTAGAGCAGAATCTCGTCAAGACACCGTGTATTATTTCTGCGGGTTTGTCGTCGAGCGCCACATGCAGAGACTTTCCATGCACTAAAAAGAATGACGGGAAACGGCCTGGTGGTCGTAGTGTCAAGTCCAGCCAAGCCAAACCCCCTTCAACGTCTACACCCTCTTGCCAACCCCCAGATTTCGGTTCCCACAAAATCGCCGTTTCTAATCGGTTCCAAAAATGTCAGCAAACCACGTCTCGCCATGTCACCCGCCCCCGATCACACAGCGACTTACACTGCGTCTGCACATAAATGTCCGACGAGCCGCTGCTCTGGTACCCCTCCGTCGCGACAATCTGGTAGTAGTGCGCGCCGAGGTTCATGCCGAACTGCGCCCACGCGTTGAAGTGGTTCTGCATGGTGACGGCGCCGCCGACGCGCTTGGAGGTGCGGACGGACCAGTACTGCTGGAAGGTCCGCGTGCCGTCGATGGAGGGCTGGTTCGTGCGCGTCGAGACGTAGACGTTGTAGGTGCCGCCGTCGGTCGTGACGGTGCCCTTGAGCTGGCCGCCGCTGCCGGGGTTGTACGTGCCGTAGGACTCGACGACGTAGTACTCGATCAGGGGGTTGCGGGTCCAGCCGTAGACGGCGAGGTAGCCGTTGCCTTGCGGGCTGAACGAACCTCCGTAGTTGATGGTGCTGGCGCAGCAGGTTAGTCACAAGGTCGTGGTCTGAAGGAGGGTGAGTGGGTGGACTGCGTACCGGCCAGTGCCGGGGTTCCAACCCTTGCCGCCGACAAAGTTGCCCGTGTCCTTCCACGTCACGGAGTATCGGCTTCCCGCACCCATAGTGTACGTCACTTGGCCGCCGCCATCACTCCACCAGGAGTAGAAGTAACCATTGTGGGTGCCCTCCGAGTTGGCAGTCACCTGACGTCTTACAAGAAGCTCGTCAGCATCTGTGATGTTGACGTCAGGCCCGTCGAAGCTGTCAAAAGGACGGCCAAGTACTGCGGTAAAGGCCGAAGCGGCAAGAAGAAGAGACTTGAACGAGACCATGGCGGGAGCAAGCAAGGCGTGTTGTGTTTCTGGTGTGATACTATGCTTGAGTGCTTCCAACAAGGTGGTGATAGAGTCTTGTTTGCCCTTTTATACACCCGAGTCCCATGTTTCGTGGCTCATGTAGAGCATGTAGAGCTTCCACGGCCCTCGGCTCAGTACCGCTTCAAAGAAGTTAGTACCCCGAACTACCCCATATTCGCGGAGAAGCAATATAGGCTGTTTTCCTACACCTCAAAAACAAGCTTAGTCTCCCGTCCCGTGCCCTGTCACGCGATTGCGAACGAAGTGCCACGAGTGCCGACAGCATGGGGGAAACTGCCAGTAGCCTGGTGATCGCCCATGCATGTGTCGGCAGGACCTGACAAACGCGACGCGACCCGGATTTTGCCAGACCAATGGATCCATACCCCGGACTCCGGCTAAAGTCGTTCAAGCACACCATGCAAGCACTCCACCGGTAGTTGCCCTATATCGCGATGCTCATGCCTATATGTCGTCGGAGCTTTCGTCTCATGTAGCGGTCCGTGGAGGGTAACATGACGCCCGGAGGTTGTCATGAAGCTGAGTCAAGTTCGCATCGTCCAGGTAGCCCCTCTGTTACCAGGTTGATCAATCTGATGCGAGGGGGATATAACGGCGAGACGATCTGGTCTCGTCTTTTCCCAGCCCACTTCCCCCTTAATTAAGATATCAGATCGACCCCATGGAAAAATAGGCTAATCCGGGCGGCTCGCACCGCGGGAAAGGATGGAGTTTCGGCCGAACGCTGACTTGTACACAAGGCCGGGTACTGGCAGAATATGACACACCGTGGGGCAGAGCTGGAGCCGGCTCAAGGTGGGGCTCGGATCAACGGGAACCTGGTCGACACAGGGGGCAGGGGGGGGGTCGAAGGGCGTGTTCACGAGAGAATATTCGAGTTCGGTCCGATAGTTGCATTAGAAAGGGTTTCAAAATCAAAATCAAGGAAACGAAAAAGATCACATTGCTCCCACGGGTATATGTTGCTCAGTACCTGTGTCCATGCCCTGGCGCCACTTCGTCTGCAATCTTTGCCATTACCAAGTCTCCCACATCTGCGATCCCATAGCAACAAGCCTGTTAAATAGTTCATCCCTTGTCTCGATGGCAGTAAGATGATACTCGTTGCCGATGTCATCCTTAATGAGAAGTGAGTCTGCAACTTCACGGTTGGTCGCCCATCCGACCACAATCTTAGACTTCCAGCCCAAACCGCCGAGCTTCTGAATTTCCTGAATGGTATTCCATGTCAGCATCTTGTACGCACGTTAGATTAAGACGGAGAAAGAGGGACATACCGCGATCTCTCCGACTGTCACGCTCCACTTTGGATGAGCATCTTCCTTCTCTGACGTCCAGCTCAGTGCAGGCGTCGTTGCTGTGGCTGTGATGTATGCGTGGCCGCGCTTTCCACCATACCGTGCTGGGAAGCGCACGGGGCCCTTGGACGGATCAGGCTGATCAATCTTCTTGACGACACCGAGCCTGTCCTTGGCGTGGTGGCTGCCAACCTTGGCCTTGACCTTATTAGCAGTGAGGGTTGTGTTGATGCCGCCCTTGGCTGTTGACTTGATGAAGTTGACGATGCGATGACCTTTCTTTTGCTTCTTTTCGGGGGTCTCCGACTCGGCAGGCGCAAGGAGCTCCTCGTCGGGCTGCACAGCTTCGTCGATCTCATCTTGGTCTACACCTTGGAGAAATATTAGGACTGATGGGTTCATACGCAGGGAGGATGACCGACCTAAATGTTCGAGACCTTCGCCGGCAGTCTCGTGGGGCTGATCGGGGGGAGCTTGGTCGGAACGTGGCGGAGGAGGTAGGGGTGCCTTGTTGCGTTCACCGATACGGAGGAGGGTAATGGTAAGCTGAGCGTTCGTGGGGATACCCTTGAGAAGCGTGTTGCGCAGTTCAATGTACTTCTGCCAATCTGGCACCTTTCTCTCGACAAAAGCAATGCCACGCTGGATGACCGGGTCCCCAAAGAAGCTGAAGCCGATGATAAAGCCGAAGCCCTTCGCAGCCATGTGAGGAGTCACGAGCAAAGAGGCGAAGAAAAGGGGCAACAAGATGCTGGCAAGAATCAGACGCGGCCTGTGTGTGTGGAATGGCGCTGTAGGACTAAGTGCGTTGCCGAATCTCTCGTATGTATCGACAAACTAAAAAGGCTATCAGAAGATGCGGTGATAAGTGGTTCAGCAAGACACTTACATCCGCAATACCATGCATCACAGGTCTCGCCTTATCCCAGACATTGCGGGTCACGGGTTTCTTCGTCTTGTCGTGAGTGCCCGGCTTTTCGCCGCCTGTCTTATCCTTGGCGTCAACGATATCTTCAGCAACGTCAGCCGGGTCCGGGGCAGCTTCGAGGTTCGCGTCCATGGAGGAGTTTTGGGGAGGATCGCCTTGAGGTTGCTTCCCCGCTGCCGTGGAAACGACAAGCGAGGAGATGCTAGTGACAAAGCTGTGAGCTTCTTTCTCAACCGCCTCGCCTTGGTACTGCTGAGGGGCACCGGTGACGGAGTCGTCAGAGGCGAGTAGGCCGGCCGACGGCGTCTTGACACCCCCAGTAGAACTGTCGATGAGGGATGGAGGTGCCGGTGGGAAGCAAAAGCTCCTCGCTGGCGTGTAGAGAATTAGAGTACCCAGGAAAATCAGGAATGTTGGAAGAAGGATATTGAAGAGCCAGGCAACAATGTAGACGGCCAAGAAGGCAGATGTGCGCCGATACTCGCGCCACGATCGCAGGCGAACGATGTGTTTCCAGAAAGAAAACAGACCAACGAGTACCGTCATGTACAGTCTTTCGATGTGAGAGCGCAACTTATCGGGAGAAAATTCCTCCTCGTCGGCAATGTTCAGGTCCAATTCAGCCAACGGTGCTTCTGGGATGGCCTTGACGTGAAACAACTGTTTGTCAAAGCGGCGGACCAGAACCCAGAGCTCTTCATTTGACAGGCCACCGACAAGAGGATTAGGGACGTTGTTTGAGTTGTCCGTGTTCCAGCCAAGGTTCTTGACTTCGACCTCTCCATGGTTGATCTCAGCGTACCCTTTCTCTTCAAGGGGTCTGTTGGCGGCTTGGTCTGCAAGTTCGTGGCTCACAGTAGGAGCATCGTTGGCATGGGCATCAACATGCTCAGGCCCATCGTCGGAAATCATGGCGCGAGGCTGCTGGGGGCGGCGTGTGCCTAGAGTCGACTCGTCGCCCTTTCCGGTACGAGTTGCACCGTCCAATCTTGGTTCCGTCGCGGGATCCTGATTCAGGACCCGAACAGGTTCTTCTCTAGGTGCCAAAGCTGGAGCCTCAGAACTGGTAATGGCGGCATTCTGTGCAACAGCAGGCTGTGAGTTCAGAGCCTGCTGCTCTGCCTCGGCGCGTTGCTGCTCAGGCAAGACGCCGGCGTCGCGCTGACGTTCATGGCCTTTGAACATGGCGTCAAGGGCTTCTCGTTGTGGGTGCTGCATCTGTGTGATGAAGATGGCTGGCAGGCAGACAGAGGAGACGAGACGAGGAACATATGAAGTACCTAGGTATCTCAAAAGAATTTTACACGTCGTACCTGCCTGTCAAACAGAAGGCAGGCGCCCCCTACGTCAAAAGGTTGTCGCCGCATTGGGAAATTCCTCATGACGTCAGGCGCACTTCATTGGCTGTAGGACGCAGGTCACAGCTTCCCTGGGACGCGTTGCAGCAAGGGAGCCAAGAGCTACCACATCAAGCACCTGCCACCAGAACACAAACAGCATCCTATGATCGACTCTGGGATTGCGCGGCTGCATCGATTCCCATCGGCCATTTCGATGGAATGGATCTAGCTTGGCTGTATCTTGTTGGCGACGGCATCGACAGCATTCATGCAGAATGTCAGCGACATGTGTGGATAAGACAGATCTTGGTGGGGAACAGAGAAGAGGATCACCACTGATGCGATCTACTCCCCACGACACTATCGATTTCCGCCGGAGGATCGCTCCGGAACAGCATCATCACATCTGCCATCTGCACCACACCAGCATGTAAAGCGCATATTCTGCCTTGATCAAAGTATGTGAGAGCTGAATTCGAACGCCGCTGACTCTCTGACTCCCGCTAGTATCCCGCCCACCACGTGTAGTTGTTGGTGTCCTCAGGGGAGTCCCACACGAGCTGCACGCTCGAATCGGACGGCCTGTCTGGCCAGGCATTCGAAAGACCTTTCCATACCTGAACGTTGCTCCACGAAGCCTGAATAACCTCCGCGTCCTCCTCTTCATCACCCTCTGCCGACTGCTTGCATCCACCACCAGCCTCCTTGTTCTCCCAGCTTCCCGCGAAGAAGCTGATGCCAGTACTGTCGCTACGCGAGGGGTACATGCGTGCCGTCATGGCAAACCGCTCGTTGACCCAGACCTCGAGGAGCGAGCCATCAACAACAACGTGGAAGTTGACGTCTTCGGTCGTCGTCTTGTTGCTACCGCTCTCCCTGATTTCATACGCCTCGAAGTGGCCCACAAACGTCCGGTTCCCGAAGTGAGGCAAAAGACTGCTATGGTCGCGGTTGACGCCAATCTGCTTGGTCTCGGGGTCGAGGTAAATGACGGTGTACTCGGCATGATCTGGGCTCTGAGCAACCAGGATACCCGCCGTGCCATTGAAGTTGCTGAGCGTCGCCTTGAGCTCGTACGATGATCCGGCATGGGTCACTGCCCGGTGGTGAGTGCTGTGGAGTTCACCCACGTCAAAGTCGTGGGCCTCGCTGCCGTTTCGCATCAAATCGAGCACGTCGGGAAGAGGTCGCAGGCCGAGGGTCTCCGCCGTGAAGCTGCCATCCTTTTGCTTGACACAGAGGTTGCCGTCTGGCTGCACATCGCAGTTCAGGACGTTCTTGGTCTCCTTGACGAACAGCTCGGTCGGCAGCGTCATGACGCCGTTGTAGCCCAGCTGCTTCGTCGTGTTGAAGACGTACGCGTCGTTGACCTCTTCGATTGCCCAACCCCACATGACGCGACGATTCTCCTTGGTGTCGTTCCATGTTGCCTGAGCGTAGGCCATACCCCAGTCCAGCGCGCCGCCAGAGTTGGGCGCAAACGCGACCGAACCGTTCTCCCGCGCCGACACCTCGCCGCGGTTCCACAACGCCCACTGCTCGCGCCAGTGCGTTGTCGTGTTGCCGCCCTCGGCTCCTGCACCAAAGAACCACGCCTTGCCACCCGAAGGCGTATCGAGCTCGAACAGGCTGCTGACCTCAAAGTTGTAGCCGTAGGAGCCCGTGACATCAGGCACACCGAGTGAGCTGTTCGCTGCCGGCTCCCAAAGGGCACCGAGGAACTCCCATGCCTCGAGGTTCGACGCTGGCGCCGCGTACAGCGGGATGCGGGGTCCGAGGAATCCCGGGCGCTCGGCACCGGGAAGCGGGAAGGGGACATCGCCACCTTTGAGACCAGAGCCAAGAACCATGTAATAGTGCGGCTCGTCAACCGAGAGTAGCTCGTCGAGGAGGGTTGACGGGAAGAAGCTGGGATCACGCCAGCCGGTGACGTTCCAGCCATCCGGCGGGCCATCAAGCACAGTGCCAACCTCCTCCCAGGTGAGGCCACCGTCGGAGGACGTGTAAAGGGCCTGGACCTCTGTGCCGTTGGTGTAGGGAATCTTCCAGTTGGTCGGGAGGAACTGGATGCCAGTAGCAAAGGTGAGAATAGTTCCATCCTGCTCACCTTGCAGGTTGACCGGCTGAGAGGTGCCGGTGAACTGCGACAGAGGGCCAGAGGGGTACTTGCCCGAGGCCAGGCTCACGGCCGAGTCGTTGGCCCAGTCGCGCACATCGGTCCAGTGGAAAAGGTCCTTGGAGACGGCATGGCCCCAGGAGATGTTGCCCCAGTTGACGTGGTTGGGGTGATACTGGTAGTGCAGGTGGTAAGTCTCTGTAGTCGGGTCGTAGAGAGGCCCGCACGGATCGTTCATCCATGAGTGAGGTGACATGTAATGCGAACGAGGGCGCCAGCGGGTAAACAGGGAGCTGTTGCCCAGGCCCTCGAGGATGTCGGTCGTCAGCGTCGGATACTCGGCCGATAGGTCTTGTGCGAAGGCAGGAGTCGCCAAAGCTGCGAGGGATGTGATGGCCGTCACGGCCGAAGTAATCTTGAGGGCCGCCATGACGAAGATAGGATGCCGACTGCCAGGGTTACAGACGATGGTAGTTCAGGACTCAGACCAACACCCTGTCCACTGAGGCCATCGTGATTTCTGCCATTTATACCTTGTTTTCCCCCGAGTCCCCCAGCGATGCCGAAATCAAGTTGGAAGAAAAGTCTCCATGGTCATGCCGATCGCTGCCTTCCAATGGAGACGTCAACCAGGACACCATCCAACAGCAGGCCTCGCAGCCAAGGGCACACCGGGCCCAGCGGGGAAAGCCTAATTAACGCACGCGGGGCATGCGCCAGCCTGCCGGGCCATGCCATGTCACCCCGTCATGACGTCCATTCGGGAATCCTGGAAGGGGGGGAGGGGGGCGAAGAGTGAAAATCCCGGGCACACCGGGGCGATCGGGGCTTGCGCTCAATTGACTTCATCGGGTGGCGCTTGTGGGGTGCAAGACTACTGCAAGACCGGCAGAGGCAGATGCGGAGAAGCTCTCTTGGTCGCGCAAACCCTCGCCTCAACCGGGCGTCGAGACGGGTCAGTCTGTCTGCCGGGAGGGGCTAAAGGGGGGAGCTAAAGACGGGTACAGCTCATGACGAAGAGGGCTTGCGGGGGAAGAAAGACAGAAAAGACGGACGGGCGTGGAGAAGAAAGATGGAAGCACCGAATATTTTGACGAGCATCCACTGCATTCTGGGGCCATGGGCCTGCGCCCTGGGGCTTCTTCAGGCCTCTTGCAGGTTTGTGGGATCATCAGAGGTTGGCGACCGGCTTGGCTCGACGGGGATCGCTCCGTGCTGGCCTCTTCAGCACTCAGCACAGCTTTTTTGTTTTTTACAGGCTTCGGTGGATGCCCTCACTGCACGACTTGGCTGGACGATAATTAGTGTCTGAGTCATTGTGTTGCATTGACGGCAAGTTTGATGGATCAGGTTTGACGAAGCAAGGTGCTGGGCTGACATTCTTCATCGCGATTAGACGTCTTGAGCAAACAGAGTTCAAGTTGCGGTCGGCTTAGCAGTCCAACGTCAATGAACAACACTGAGGACTCCTTGGTACAACATCGCGAATGGTTTGTCGTTAAATTGGCGACAGTCGACTTGCTGGGTCGGACCACAACCGCAATGATTCTGCAATCCCTCCCAAAATACAGAACCCACCGCCACTCTGGAGAACGACGGCGACCCAGACTTGCCCACCATCGATCCGGCCATCTGGTCTGCTATGGAGACCAAGTACCCATTGCCGACGAAACCCGCTGATCCTACACCCCCCGCCGACACGCCGACACAGCCAGCCACCCAATTGATGAGCCAGCCTGCGTGGACGCCAATGACGCCGTCAAAGAAGACCTGTCTCGCTGGACAACTCGAGGCACCGCCATTTTGCTGGGTGGCAGCGCGACCAGCGTCAACGAGCTACTGTACAAGCTTCGCCAAACAGTTTGCGACGGTACATGCAAGGCTCCGGACGGTGTCGACAGTAAGTATGTGGCAGTCTATAAGAACAACGGCGCATGCGAGGTGTCCATCGCTGTGTCGTCCGAGGTCGTGGTGTACGTCAACAGTGACATGTGGCCAGAGAATAACAACAATTTCAACACAATCTGGCAGCAATGCTGGGATAGCATTGAGAACATCATCGACAAGTGCGTTGACAATCAGGCCAAGTCGGGCTGGTGGAATGGCAACCACGTGTACCAGTTCTACAAAGCCGGCGTTCGGCAGCTCAATGACCCTGACGCGCACCACACGAAGAACAACATCAACATCGATTCGTACCTGATGCCGCCCACAGACGGGTTGTCTTGCGGGAAAGACTGCCATGGATTCATCCCAAACCCGCAATGGTGCCAGGACAACTGTGGCGCCAGGCGCTTTGCTCGGGGTCGTCGCTGGGCTTCGAGCTCAAATAATCCTGGTTCGGCGCCGGTGCTGTTTGCGCGGCCTACAGAGACAGTGAACACTGTCGGAGGCTGCAACCTTAAATATGTCATACCGGACTACCCTAGCTCTGGAACGGCGGAGAATAATGCGGCAGTCCAAAAGTTTTATGACAGAGACGATACAGATAACGGGAACGGTAACAACTGCGATAATCCAGTGTTGACTGGACCCGTCGCTAAAGTCTATGGCCACAGCTATGACAGTAGGTTTTGCAGACTACATGATTGGAACGCGACGTCATGCTAACGTGGACCCAGCTGAGCACGTATACGAGAAACACATCATCAAGCGCTTCCTATATTTCCTCGTTGGCGGACAGCAAGCCTTCGACGACAGTGTTGACCCAAATGGTGCCGACCCCGTTGCTACGTTCCCCGATGTCGAGTCCGCCTTCAACCAGCCGAACCCCCAAGGAAGGGACTTTAAGGACGAAACGGCCGCGCAACAGCTGGGGCGGGCTGTGTCGTGCAGTGGGACGCAGTGTCCTAACGACAACCGAGCTTCGGAACTGTTCCTGCTTCGTAAGGAGGTCAACGGCATCAAGAACCGGATCTTCGCGGGCCACTATACCGGTGTCGGGCGAGATCCCAATGATAACAAGCTCCCCAGCTGCAATGCTGCCCGCAAGACCTACGTGGAAATGCAGCAGCAGATGATCAATGCGGCCATGGTCTTCCAGTACATGAACAAGCAGGAAACATTCGACGCATTTAATGCCGTCCACCTGCGGATTCGCAAAATTCTGTAAGTCTTGCGCTACCAACATTGCCAACAATTAGCCACATGTTAACTAACACGCTTTCCTCTTTAGCACCAACCTCGACGCGGAAGCGCTCGGAGCCAACACGCCGCCTCAAGACTTGGCCCCTTACATCAGAGAAGGGGTAGCACCTACGTGACTTGCGGCCTATGACGAGTTTGTGAACCGCTTCCTCGTTGATACAGAGCGTAAGATGGGGCTCTGGCAGCGCGAATGCCGGGACGCGTATGACACTGTAGTACTCGCATCAAAGCTGAAACGGGAAGATAAGGATGCAGTCAGGGACAAGGTTAGGAACTACGCGACTGGAAATGGCGTTTACGCAGATGCTGCTTTGACGTTGTCGGGTCTTTGGGATCCTGTAAAGGGGAATTAGGAGGGCACGAGGGTTGCTTGGTCTGGGTTAGAATGTATTTTATACCAGTAATGCACAGCCTCGCGGGTCTATATGATTATAACAATGATTCTAAGTGTTCTGAATGTCTCTCGCGCGTCCTGACTTTGGCGTCTGATTTGATTGAACCTGATAACGAATTATAAGGTGTACAATAAATAGTTCCACCAAAGACAGGCCAAGATACTAGGAGGAGGCGGCTACGAGAAATGTATATATATAGGCTGCGGAGGGCCCTCCAAGCTGCGGAGCGCCAGAATTCAGATGTGTTCCGACCCCATACCTACCTTCTATCTACCTGCGGACCACGTGTGGAAGACCTCTTCACTCTGCTCTAAACAACGCTTTGACATAGTCGCACCCCTAAAATTCAAGATCTATAAGTAGGGGTCTTCGTAAGCTTAGAAAGCTCTAGGCCGACTAGGTACTTACGTTTTAGTATGCGAAGGCTGATGCGCATCTAGATGCACCTTAAGCAATAGCGATATCATATTGCGCAATAATAATCCAAGTATATATAACTATACCTACTAGAGAACTCAGGATCCCGTCCGCTCTCCTATAGATGAGCTAGTAAGGGTCGAATTGCGTGCGTGACCACCATCGAATACCTGGTGTGGTATGTTTTGTCTTTGAGGGCCGCGGTTTCGTGTCTAGTGGTCGGGCACGCATACCAGGCGACGAGGCCTGAAGGCAAAAGTCAGGAAGCATCAAAGTTTAAAGAAGGAATGACATAATACTTGAGAGGTCCTGTCCTGTCATTCTTTGTTTGCCCTCAAAGATACAAACCCAACAGCCATGCGAACTCAGTCATCAATCAATGCAGACATTTGCCGAAATAGGCCTTGGTGCACGTCACGAACCCAGCCTGAACTGATAGTCAGTCTTGAAATATAAGCTGACTTCTTATGACCTGAACTGGCACTTGGTTCATAGTTGACGATGAATCGTTCGTCAGGCGATGCTAGTGCTGTCGTGATCCTCATTCGACTGGGCAGCTTTCCTAGAAGCTGCTAAGTATGCCATCAGCGAATCAAACATGAGATACGCATGGAACGTTCCAGCTGATACACAGAATATTGTACCACTGCATCATTATATTGTACGGAAAGCCGTAGGAATCTTGAGAGACCGTACGCGTTGGCATTGCCTCCAGATGTACATGTACGCTGAAGGCCGGACACCAGACATACAAGAGAAACATCAGGTTGGCCTTGGACTTTCCAATATCACATTTGGCATAGAGAGTTATGTCGGTCGGTAAAATGTGCCTTCCGCCATGGTTCACGGAACTCGGCAATGCGTGCCATCTGTAGATTACGAGGTGTGTCAAACGTGGGCTCACAAGAGATGCAGCAGCCGGATCAGCCAGCCCCGCCCCAGCCCCTCCCTAATTCACAAGGTTTACTGACGGGTGTTTAGCAGCCCGGATGGACGCGTTTACAGCCAAAATGGCTGTTATTCGGGCTCAAAAGAGCCAGGATACATGTAGAGCTTCCTGGGTGGTGGCAGTGTTGTGTACAGATACTTCGTGAGTGCTCCGGATCCGTCACCATTTTCCTTGTTAGAAGAAACGTGCTCACATCAGCAAGCCCGCCGGCCACTACCGTGATGCCATGGCTGAGTCTAGAATAATTGCTGTTGCCATTGAGCATCATTTGAAGAGCCTGGATGATGGCAAGCTATGCCGCACAAAGTGCATGGATCTCACGGAAAGCGGCGCAGGGAATGAATATCTTTGTCTCGGCCGCGCGGAACGGTTCGAGGGCAATATGTACTGTGGTCCCGAGCTTCTGTTCAACAGTTGCAGGTTCTTCAACAAGAAGACGGAACTGCAGAATGTAAGCAGTCAGGCGCAAGCGTATGTGAAGCATTGAGGTCAAAGATCAAGGTGATTGGGCAGTTGCGAGTACCATCTTGGTGCTGTGGGAGGTTAATCTAGTGGGCTGGTCCCTGAAGCCAGCAGCCCCGCACTAACCTCTTTGGGAACTTCCCCTCCTCGCAAATGTGATCCAATTTGGGAGGAATCGGTGAGGGCTTCATCTTTTCCTCGGTTTCCCTGTTCTCTCTCGATCAGCCTAGATTGTGACGAAATCACCGGATGAACGTCAATATTGTGTCACCTTAGTATCCGAGACGAAACGGCAATACATACGACCCTTTCGCCGACCAGATCTTTCCCACGCCCACCCCATCCACACATCCATCATGGCCGAGAACCAAGTCTACCGGGCCAGCACCACGGCTCCCGTCAACATTGCGGTCGTCAAGTATGCTGCCCGCCTGTCGAAATTCTTTCCTCCAAGACCATGCTAACAGGTCAGATACTGGGGCAAGCGCGATGCCAAGCTCAACCTCCCGACCAACAGCTCCCTTTCTGTGACCCTCGCCCAGTCTGACCTCCGAACCCTGACGACGGCCTCGACATCCGCCTCATACCCCGAGGGCGACAGCCTGATCCTCAATGGCGAGCCATCCGATATCACGGGCGCCCGCACCCAAGCCTGCTTCCGCGAGCTGCGCGCCCGCCGCGCTGCCCTCGAGGCCAGCGACAGCTCCCTGCCCAAGCTCGCCGCCCTGCCCCTTCGCGTCGTCTCCGAGAACAACTTCCCCACAGCCGCGGGCCTCGCCTCTTCCGCTGCTGGCTTTGCCGCCCTCGTCCGCGCCATTGCCGACCTCTACCAGCTCCCCGATACCCCGGACCAGCTCTCGCTCGTCGCCCGCCAGGGCTCCGGCTCGGCCTGTCGCAGTCTCTTCGGCGGCTACGTCGCCTGGCGCATGGGTTCCGCCGCCGACGGCTCCGACTCCAAGGCAGACCTCGTCGCCGAGGCGTCCCACTGGCCTGACATGCGTGCCCTGATCCTCGTCGTCAGCGCCGCCAAGAAGGGCGTGTCGTCGTCCTCGGGCATGCAGCAGACCGTCGCCACCTCGGGCCTCTTCCAGCAGCGCATCCAGACTGTCGTCCCCGCCAACATGGACCTCATGGAGCAGGCCATCCGCGATCGCGACTTTGCCAAGTTTGCCGAGGTCACCATGCGCGATTCCAACTCGTTCCACTCGACCTGCGCCGATACCTACCCGCCCATCTTCTACATGAACGACGTTTCGCGAGCCGCCATTCGCGCAGTCGAGGCGATCAACGCCGCTGCTGGCCGGACTGTTGCGGCGTACACCTTTGATGCGGGCCCGAACGCCGTCATTTACTATCAGGAGGCCGACGAGGCCACTGTTGTCGGCGCGTTCACTGCTGTGCTCGATGGCGTTGGTGGTTTCAAGGAGAGGGCACAGGGACTGAAGTCTGAGGCTAAGCTGGATGAGGTCTTGGCCGGCATTCTCAAGGGTGGTGTGAGCTGTGTCATCATGACTGGTGTTGGCGAAGGTCCCCTCAAGTCGGATGAGTATCTAGTGGGTGAGGATGGTGAGCCCGTTAAGAGGTAAACTCGGTTCTCGTGGCCATATTTTACGTATTAAGCATATCATGAGGTAGCCAAGCGAATGTCGACTGCTGCTGCAAGTCTGCTGGCGAGTATATACTGCAGCATCAAGAGCCCGTAATACTGAATGGAGGCTTGGCGTCCCAACCTCTTGGCTGGCAGGAGAAAGATGAGTGTTGTATCAGAGGCCTATGATGTGTCAATTCCAAGAATGTTGCATTGCCCCTCGGCTTGGGTTGCAATCACTGGTCAATTGGCTGACATGGCTCACCTGCTGCGATGTTTGGGCGGAGTGATGTGACTGATGGCGCCATTACGGGGACTGGCGAGCGAGGGGACCAAATTATCTCATCGTGGAATGACGACCATGAAGCCCCCCATGTTTTGACCCACCAGATTATCTTCCAACTCACCACCAACAACCCAATCTTGAAGTAACAATATGCCTGCTTTGACGACAGCAGACACAGAAGCCGAACGGCCGCTCCTCGCGAACGAGGAGCGCGATGCGCCTGCGGCAGCAGCCGACTACGGCACGAGTGCGCCACCAGCGGAACGCAGCACCTTCACGCGTAACCTCGGTGCCGTCGAGGCCTTCGGCATCGTCGTCAGCATCGTCATCGGCAGCGGTGTCTTCACGTCCCCTGGCGCAATTGACACGAATGTGCCCTCTCCTGGCGCCGCATTGGTCACCTGGCTTCTCGGTGGTGTTCTGGCCTGGACCGGTGCCACGACGCTTGCCGAGTTGGGCACCGCGATTCCCGGCGAAGGTGCGTTCCCTCACGTGTATTCAATACACCCTGGGAATGGGTCGTGCTAATTTGTTGACAGGTGGCATTCAGCCTTACCTCCAGTACATCTTTGGCGATGTCTTTGGCTTTCTCGCCGCCTGGACATGGATTGTCGCCGTCATGCCTGCGACGCTGGCCATCCTGAGCATCGTGTTTGTTGAGAGCGTCTACTCATCGGCTGGCGTCACTGATGGAGCCAGTCGCATCGAGCATAAGCTGCTGTCGATCCTCGTGCTTCTCGTCATGAGCGGTGCGAACATGATTAGTACCAAGGCTAGCACGCGCCTCAACAGCTTCTTCGTCGTGACCAAGTTCCTGAGCATATTCGTCATTGTCGTCGCGGGCCTTGTGGTCGTGATCCTTCAGGTCGCTAACCGGGAGAGGAAGGATGTCGGGGGTCGAGACTGGTTCGACAGGCCTTGGTTCGAGCACCGCGAGACAGTGAACCCCGACGGGAGCAGGACGGACTGGGATGCTATCGGGAGCTGGGAGCTGCTGGGACACTACTCGGCTGCGCTGTATGGCGCTCTTTGGGCGTACTCTGGCTGGGACAAGGTGAGTCCGACGCTCGATATCTGAACTGCCGAGACATGTACTGACATGTACAGGCCATTTACGTTTCGGCAGAGCTCAAGTCTCCCGCCAAACAGTTGCCTCTAGCGATCAACTCGGCCATTCCCACTATCATCATCAGTTTCCTCGCGGCCAATGCCGCCTACTACATCCTTCTCCCATGGGCTGTCGTTTCGACGACGGACAGCGTCGCTGTGGTGCGCACTCTTCTTTCTCCGTCGCTGTACCAACAGGCACTGACATGTTAGACCTCCCTCACACGTCTCCTCGGCCGCGGCTTTGGCATCGCCGCCGCAGCCCTCATCTGCCTCGTTGTAGCTGGCTCCCTCCTCGGCAACTCTTTCGTCGCGAGCCGCATGGCTGTCGCCGCTGCCAACAAGAGCTGGTTCCCGCGCTTATTCACGTACGTCGGCCGCGTTGGTCTGAAGCCATCGAACAGCACCGAGCCTGCGACGTCCGACGCGCCCATCAACGCGATTATTCTGTCAGCCATTCTGGCGGCTGTGTATATCCTCCTTGGCAACTTCCGAGCGTTACTGACGTTCAATGGACTTGGCGAGTATACGTTCTTCTTCCTGACCGTGCTGGGAGCCATCATCTTGCGATGGAGAGAGCCTGGGCTGGAGAGGCCGTACAAGCCGTTTGTCGTGGTGCCGATCATTTTTGCTCTTGTCAGTGGATTCGTCGTCGTTCGAGGTGCTGCGTTTGCGCCTGTCCAAGCCGGCGTGCTCGTTGGTGTGTGGGCGCTGGGTCTTGTGTTCTACTGGGCTAAGAAGAGGTGGTTTGACGGCAGGAACGCCTAGGCGCAGGTCTGTCCAGTGGCCTGGAAGCAAATAGCATGTCCACTGTTGCCGACATTATATTTTTCTTAGACCCTGGCCATAGATTCGTCGTGATAGAATCGACATACCAAGGAGTGTGGAACGGTGGCCTGCATGTGATTGATTGTTCTTGTGCTGCATTAGATGACCTACCACTTCGGTGAGTTTCGGTGAAATAAACCCCTCCCAAGGCAACTGCCCGCAACACAGCAAATAGCCACGTTCCTTCCTCCATTCATACAACTGCACGCGGGCTGGCCCATCCTGCACGTTGAAATTGCAAAACCCAAGCTTCCTTTAACTCACAGAAGCTGCACGCAGTCAAGATCGTGCATGTTGTGTCGCCTTTTTGGCCTTGATCCAAAAAGCAAGCCCAGTCACACCAACCCGCACCGTGATATCACTTCGGAACAAGCAGGCAACTTTCAAGACAGTGGAACGCTCGAAGCCTGCTTCAAAATAACGATAGAGCGACAGCATGGCAGCAAAGGCCAACCTGCGAGATGATCGCAGCCCTTTCGGGAAAGAGCCTCAAGACTCTGATCGCGGTCGGTTCCTCAAGACAACTGAGAACCTCCTGCACTATGATGCACAGGTAACTTCGTACCGGACCATTGGCACTATTCTGGAGCCTTTGCGTCAACTGGTAAGCTTGATCTAAGCCGCCGGCACCAATGTCACAACTGATCCATCACAGTTCTCACCAGCCAATGCCGTTCACCGCGTTGAGAGCCTCACACGAGGCACACCTCAATTCTTACGCGACGCCTTTCTTCCAGTCGATTACCCCGACTCCGTCTCGCCTGACTACATCAAATACCAGATGTACGACTCGTTCCAGGCTTTCTTCTCTACCATCACCGGGATGCTCGCCAACCGCGCCATTCTGGAGGGTCTGGGTGTCGGCGATGCGTCCGGTTCGGTCAACCACGCCTTGCTTCTGACATGTCTCAAGGATGGTGTGTCGCGTCTCGCCACGATCACCTTCGCCTATCGATTCGGCTCTGTGATCGAAGCGAATGCCAAGAAGTATCGTTTCCTCGCCGATTTATTCAATGACACGGCTTTCTTTCTGGAGCTAGCCAACCCTTTCTTCGCCGGCTGGGCCAAGATCCTCATCCTCGTCAGTGCCGAGTCACTCCGTGCCCTTTGCGGCATCGCTGCTGGCGCCAGCAAGGCCGCCCTCTCGACCCATTTCGCTCGGCGAAACAACCTTGCTGAGCTCAATACGAAGGAAGCCAGCCAAGAGACGGCTATTGGTCTCATCGGCCTCCTCGCTGGCACCGCCATCATTCACTATGTTCAGAATCGTGGGGCAGTGTTTTTCCTGACGATTTTTCTTGTCTTTATTCATCTGGGCATGAACTACCTTGGCGTTTGCGCCTTGCAGCTTGACACCGTCAATCGACAGCGAGCTACGATTGTTATGCAGCACTATCTCCGCACGCAGGAAGTCTTGACTCCGGCTGAAGCATCCAAGAAGGAGAACATTATCTTTTGGCGCCCTCATATCGCAGATGAGCACAACAAGACAGTGGCTTACGTTCGCTTCGATAACAACCCAAAGGTCTCATTCAATGCGTTGCCCACTAGTCCGAAAGATGCCTTCCGCATCCATATCAATCGGCATGCGCGGTGCCCGGATGTCCGCATCTTCGTTTGGAATCAACATGCTGACCACATGACATCGTTCCACGCTTGGTACTTGGCTCTTCGGTTTGCCTTGTGCTCACAGGCCGATGAGCACAAGATCCTTCACGAAGAGAAGGAGACCGAAGCTCTTTTCGAACGAATGCGCGCTGTTGGCTGGCGCTTCCCTGAGCAGGGCCTCGAGACGGTTGACTTGAAGTGGGAGCCCTTCTCAGTGGTTGCTGAAGAGAAGCGTAAAGATTTGTGAAGGATGGCAATACCCGGCGTTTAGTTGCTTTTGAAATGGATAGCGTGTCAAGCTGTGGCTTATGAGGAGACGCTGCAGGACTTGCTATTGGCGGTAGGTGGGGAGTAGAGCCCTCATAGCAATCAACTGTCTAGACCCAGATTTCGTGTGCCGCGATGATCGCGAATGGCCCAGCAGCAGAGCTCCAAATGCCTGTGGTCTGATTGCGCCTGTTTGCATCGACATGGACCTCTGCTGAGCGTCTCAATGGTTATGTCTATCTATTATACACGTAGATCTGTTACACGCCGGCATCATGTTATACATACATCACTCTACACCATGCCCAGTCCCCGCATGGCACGCATCTTGACGCCCTCCCAGCTGTTCAGCTTTGGCCGCACATCGAGATAGAAGCTCGGCCGCCCCGCAGCATCCTTGCCGCCCGGCCGTCCCGCGTAAAAGTCAATCACGTACTCGACCTCGACGCCGCACCGGTCGACAACCCAGTCGTGCCTGTCAAAGGGCGCCGTGTAGCCGAGCAGCGTGTTGATCCGCGCCTTGGGCGACATGCGCTCCGAAAGACCGCTGAACGAATGCAGCTTGGGGCCGCCGCACCTACAAGCAAAGTGTTCAGTCAGCAGAGTCCCATGCACCCAATCGCTTTCCCAACGGGCGTCTCAAAAAGACAGCAGCAGTGTCTGGGGCGGGCGGAACTCACGAAGTGCCCTCGGTATAGGGCCTCTCCCACTCCTTGATCTCCTTCCAGGCGCGCTCGTTGACGGCGTTGTGGATCGGCACGACCGTCTTCATGTCGGCGCCCTGCACCTGGTCGTGGCCCTTGCGCTTCATGGCGTCGAAGAACATCTTCTCGGACGGGTAGACCCAGTTGCCCGTCTTGGGGTCCGCGCCCGTGTCGGCCTCGTTGTTCGCCGGTCGTTGCTGCTGCTGCTGTTGGTCTGCGGGCGCGGGACAGGCTGCGTGGCCCGGGTTCGCGGTGCGCGGGATCGTCGAGACGACGCGGTCGGTCGTCAGGGTTGTTGTCGACGGGGCTGGCGGGTGGGGGGTTTGCGACTGGGCGGCGCTCGACGATGGGCTGGAGCCGGAGCCGGAGAAGGGGATGTAGGAGCGGAGGGTCGAAGCCCAGGATGCAGACGGCGCTGCGGGCTGAGATGGCGGGACCGGGTGGTTCGGTGGGAGGGAGGTGTGAGGGTGAGGTGGTGCGGCGTCGGCGCCTGCGGCGCGGGCTTGCTGAAGCCAGGCTTCGCGGCTCTTGTGGTCGACGGGGCAGGCATCTGCCGAGTTTGTTTGATCGGGCATTGTGGGCAGTGTGGTTCTAGAGCACGTCTAGGCGTATCTCAACTGATGGCGAGTAGTTGGAAAGTACTCGGACGTGTGTACAGGGGCGATGAACCGTGTCGGCGCGATGTCGTGATAGTCCTTGGAGTCTGCATGGGAAATTTCCACGACTGAGGAAAGTTAAAGTGGGCCCTCGCCGTCATCAGGCAAGACACGACATTAGTCATTCATCCATCCATCCAACCGGCCCGGTGCCTGCACCTCACGCGAAAAGATCTCGGGTTAATTATAAGCTGGGAGACAGCGGCAGCTTGTGGTCAGCTCTGGCCTCGAGACAACTGATTGATCGTTTCTGTACGCGTCAATTGGCAGTATTCACCGGCAGCGAGCCGGTCCGGCGGCCTCGGCAGCCCATCACACACATGAGCAACGAATAATAAGAGATGCGTGTGCATTGGCAAGTAAACTATCGACATGGGCGCGTGCCATAGGGTGTATGGGCCACGGGGATACACGTCTGTCTCCAGACCGGTCCCCTTCTTCCTGTTCCTTCGCCTCCGTCCGGTTGAATGACGGAGGCGCCCCAGCCCTTCTTTCCAGGCTGTCACCGTAAAAAAGAGAGAGAGCGATGGGTTTTACCCTGCACGCCTCTCTGATCCTGATCCACCCACCACATGAGAGACGAGGCCGTGACGTTGAGTCTGCTCAACTCATACGCCTATTGTGGACTCGTAAATCGTTCTCCCGTCACCCGTCCATGTCATTCCTCGCCCAAGTTTTTGCTGCATCGCTCTTCTGCCTTAGCACCCAGCACCGGCTGGTATCATGATGCCATCAATGACTTTTTTGGGGGTTTTGATTTTCGTTTTTAATTTCTCGACTTTTCGACCGAGCACAGCTCAGCCGAAGAGGGAAGCGCCGCCCGACTCGACAGCCTCGAGCTCGGCCAGGGGAATGGCCTGGCGGCGGAAGCGGGCGGGAAGCTCGGAGCGGTCAAAGAACTCGCCCTGGGCAGGGCGGACGGAGCCCAGCTCGTGGCCAGAGAGGCCACCGATGCCGGGCTCACCGTTGCCGGCACGAATGCTCTTCTGGAGGGGACCGTGCTGCTGGGCGTGCTGGCGGTAGGAGCTGAAGTTGGAGTGCTTGGCGCCGGCGGTGAAGCCCTCGGGGAGAGAGCCGGTGGGCGAGGCGGGGTGAGGCTGAGGGGAGTGGTCGATGGACGCTGTCTAGAGTAAGCGGCTGTCCTCGTGCAAGTCGCGGCTGCGACTGCGGCATTACGGGAAATAACGTACAAGGAGTGGTGCGGCGGCCCAGGAAGCGAATGCTGGGGGTGCGCTCGGCGTGCGCAGCAGCCTGGCGGAGGACGCGGGTGGCGGCGAACATTGTTTGGTGTGTGTTGTTTGGTGGGCGGGAGATGCTCTTGTTCGAAAAAGTTGCTGGACCGCGACGTGCCTGCTGATAAAGCTCGACGAGACTGGACGCAACTGAGAGCGGCGGAAAGAGGAATTGAACTCGGTCGAGGGTCGAGTTTTGTTGTCGTTGGTCGTGCGCGAGGCGGGCGTAGCTTTACCAGCAGGGTAGTCAGAGGAGGTAAATTTGGTCGGGCGATGAAGGAGGAGAGGAGAGGAAGAGGGCGGGACAGCGGGACGGGGAGGAATCGTCCGATGAAATAAAAGAAAGTTGGCGCCTTGGGGCTGGTGCAGGGGAGCTACCTAGGTAGGTCGAAGGTTGTGCAGGCAGGCAGGGGAGGAGACCAGCACGGCAGCCTTGGGGCCTTGGGGCCTTGGGGGGAGGGGGCCTTGGTTGAGAAGCCGGGTCCGGGGCGGGAAAGTGTCGAGGAAATTTCACAAGCCGTCTACACAAAAAAGACGACGCCAAGCGCGCCATAGCGAGTCGGCAAGGGCAGAACCGCCTGTGGGATTGCAACCAGCGGGAGGGCAAGAGGGCTGCACGCACCAGGGACCGCTTGCCGTCTTCCTCCCTTCCCTCCGCCCACGCTGCTGTGGAGACGTGCACAAGGCCGGCTAGGCGAAAAGCAGTAGCCGCAGCCTGTCAATTGGGCCACGGCGTCGAGCGCACTTCCCCGCTGACGTCCGAACTTCGGGGGGGTGTGCAGCTGCAGTACTGGCTGCTGCATTAATCAGCCTCCCCTGAAGCCTGTCGGGCCCCTGCCCAAGCCCCAAGCCCCAAGCCCGCTGAAGGCTGCTAATGCCCGCTGAAGGCTGCTAAAGCCCGCTAAAGCCCGCTGCAAGATCGACCTAGAGTGGTGGATCAGAGATAGCGATGACGGGGAGCCACTTGCGGTCTTTTCTCTCATTGCTGTTTCTATTGTTTTCGCGTACAACAAAAACGTACTATCGCCTCGCAGCACCTTGTTGCACCTAAATCACGCCCTGAACACGCCATTTCACCTACATGTACCCAAACAACCCACTTCTCCTGGCCATGCATCTTGTCTGAGCATGTCGCGACGTGGTGTCAACAAGAAGAGGAAGAGGAACACGGAGCACGAGTGAGCACTGGTTTTGCCCTGTTTGTGGCCTGACCCGGCCACACCCGAACCCTCCAACGCCCCCTTCCCCCTCCATCCACTGCTGCCGCACCACCAACCACCAGCGACAAATGTCAAGATGTTCTCAGCCAAAAGGTGAGACACTGCAGTCTTCTCAACACCCTCACCGACACATGCATCCCCCGCATTCAACATGCCGATGCGCTGTTGAGAAGCAATCTGGGGAAGCAAAAATGGCAACACCAATACGAGCGCGCGGCCATGAGCACAAGCACAAGCACAAGCACAACGGTGGTGAGATGGTGTGCTGTTCACATGCATCCCCTCCCGCGTCGCTGGGTTTCCAAGCCGTTCCAGTGCGTCCAGGAATCACCCCCAATTGGCCTCCTGCATCCTGCACCTTGGTGCCGGGATGTGTGGGTGCCTGTCTCCCTGCCTGCTACGCCTTGGGGCCCATGCCCACGCCGACTGTCACCTCTCAACCGTGTAACATCCGATATTGGGTGGGTGATCTTTTAGGCTTTCAGGCTGCTGGGCTGCTGGGCTGCCACAGCGCGGGGAACCTGGAACTCCGAGGCTTGTCCGTGAGCTTCGGTTCATCCTTTCCCTCCTCCTGGTTCTGGTCCCAGGCCGAGGGGCGAGGTACGAGGCAACGGCAGACGAATCCCGACGTTCCCGCGCGTGCTTGAGCACATGCCATTCCCGTCTGCCCGACGATGAGACGATCGCGGCTTCGAATCACGAAGAGGGTTGATGGCGAAAAACTCGTCCAACTCCCATCGAGTCCACTCTCCTTCCACCCTTTGCCGTCGAAACCCGCCGCCATCATGCCAATTCTGGGCCCACCTTCCTCCATCACTGGTCTGGCGCTTACACACGTTTGACTCGTATGAAATAGGAAGGCGCGTCGACATGGCATTTCTGCGTCGGACACTGCTTCCCGTCTCACGGTCCTCCAGGATCCACGAGCTCTTCTCTCGAACCATGGCGCCATTCGCTCGGGTTGCGATCCCGAGTCGTTTGCCTGTTCTGCCTGTGTAGGGCAGCGCTCCGACCACTAGCTCCTGTGAATGGCGCAATCCGGCCGGCCCTACTCCGTTTGAGCGACGTCGTCAGTCTTCAGTGTGTGTTTGATGATGAATCGTAACCTCCTTGCGAACTACATTTGAGGTTGTCGCTGGATTATGCGTGCAAGCCAACCTCTCAATGATGACCAATTCGTCGTTGTCACTCTGAGTACAAGGATTGCAAGCACTACTGGGGTTTTTGCGGGCGGTATCCCAAGCCTTCAGACATGTGTTCGGCAGCACACAGGTCTGACAAGGGCATTATGAAGTACTGACCTACCCCTACACCACGCGTTCACGACTAAATCGATGCTCCGTTTCAGGGAATTCTTGGGTTTTGTACCTATGACAGCTGATGAATGCTGAGACGAGCTGGATCAAGGTCGCCACGTGTGCTTTATCGTTATTCGTCGCGTATCAACTCCAACCACGTCCTGTAACATCATTTTGCAATGGATACTTCGTCATCAAAGTCCTCGGTCGTACATATCAGTCCAGCCGTCTTCTTCCCGACCATGCTAGTACGGCGGAGAGACGCAGACGCCGCCACAATCAGCTCCTCCTTTCTTAGGATCACAACCATCCCTCGGGTCGTCAATGCACACCAGGCCCTCTGGGCATGGCAACCCGCCAATTCCACCACAGAAAGGCGCATCCTCCGGGATCTCGGCGGGGGGCTCTTGTTTTAGAGGGGTCAAGCATACGCCTGGGCACTTGACGCCGCCGTTCCTGGGATCGCAGTCGTCATTGGGCTTGTCGTAGCACACGAGCCCCGAGCCGTATGGGCAACGGATTTTTCGAGGGCCCCCGCACTGAGGCGCCTTGTTGGGGATGCAAATGCCCGGCGCATCGCAGGCCATGCCGCAGCCGTCGATGCGAGGGTCATCGAGACAGGCCGTGCCCTTGGGACAGCGGGGCGCCGGCGCGACGCGGAAGCCGCCGCATGATTGGTAGTCGGCCGACACGGCGGCGGCGAGGGTCGCGATGATCAAAGATGTGATGACCTTCATAGCTGCAGTATCAACGTTGAGTCTATGTATGGCGTGGAAGATTGTTCTGATGGTTGCTGACCTGGTCTGGGGAAGAGGGAGGCTACTGGTGCCAAGGACCATGTTCATCCGAAAGCCTGGAATGCGTTCCTCTTTATACCCGCCCCCTCCTCTGGATCAGGAAACAAACCATGATCCTCCGTCGAGTATACTTTCTCTCCTGAATCAGATTAATTGCCAAAATCCTCCCTGGACCTAGAACACCCAATCGCGACCCTTCGGCAGAAGAAAAGATTCAGCCACACTCTCCGGGTGAACTGGCGCTGACCCGCCGGCGCCCGATTCCTCCGCGTCCTGCTGCCGCAACGGCCCAAGACACACTCAGCTCTGGTGGTCAATTGCCAGGGCGATGTTGCGATGTCCCGCGACTAGTCGCGTGTGAGTGGTCATCGACCTGTTACGGGGGCTGGGCTCGTTGCAACGTGAGTTCAGCTCTCGCATGTGACGGGAATGTAAGCCTGGCCAGAACCCAGTCTCGAGGGGAGCATTGTCATCCCTTGGTTGCCTCTGTCTTGTTGAACTGTGGACACGGGAGCGTCTCTGTGTGAGAGCGGTCCTGCAGGTGCGGTGTCGGCGGTCATGCGAGGATATTGAGGCTGAATAGGTAGCGGTATCGGCTGAGGGGCGTGATCATATGTGTGCAGCGCACAACTCGCGGTGAGCTGCCTTGAGGCATCTGGACGGTTTGAAACATGCAAAATCGCGGTGCGCTGTGACACGCGCGGCTCGATTTTCCAAATTTGCAAGAGTCAAGTTAGTCCCAGGCGAGTACAGAGCGATGTGTAAGCACCAAATGACAATGTCTACATCGTTTGACGAATGGAAGAGAGGCGGATGTCGTTCATTTGTCTTGCTAGCGGTTAAGTAGGGTCTGTTGCTCTTGGAGTTCATATCAGGGTTTGAATCGGTCTCCTCAATGTCGTACCGTGGAGACCGAATGAGCTGCCTGCCTGCATGATCTCGACTGTTATGTCATTCGATGTCTGAGCCATGTTTCGAGCAGACTGACGACGTCGTGTGCAGCTTATGCAGCCCGTTTTCTGGTAGAAGATAAAAGAACATCCGGAGTATGGCTCGTTGTGGCTAGGACGGCAGACTTTGTCCGTGCAGCTATGCTTCCGTGATCTTCTTGCCCTGCCCCTAGGCCTTGTATGTAAAGTGCACTAAAGTTGACTCTGACACTTGGAATGATGGGGACTGAGCTTCAGAAATGGTCTGTCAGGACCTATGGAAAATACGAAACCGGCAGTCAATCGCCTGCTTTATGATCGTGGAGAGCCTGGAGAAGGGATCAAGGATAGCGAAAAGTTAGTAATACAGAGAGTTACCAAGCCGCAGTTCAAGGCGAGCGGTTAATCCTAAGTTGAGGTTCCTGAGTGGTCAAGTAATCTTCTGAACTCGTTGCGAGACTCGCCTGACAGCGATCTTCCCACATACAGCCGAGTCTGAGATTTCCGCAGCATTTGGATAAAGACCGGCGGCCGTAGTGTAGAGGTCCCACCGAGGTCGAATCTGATCATGGCATTAGCAGTAAATTAGGAGGTCACGCCGTCAGTATCAGCTGCCTCTTCTATCCTTCACGCCAAGTACCTACTCGGCAAGGCCTCTTGCGGTATGTACCGTTTCAGTTTGTGGTGTCCGCAATCGGCATTCACAAGATTGCACGTCTTCAGTTTTCACAGGCTGGAGCTGGCCTTATCGGATGAGCACCGACTTTCGTGAGATTATTTGAGGGTTCTAAAGATGTAGGGCGCATCGGATGACCTAACGTCAAGGTCGTAATCTATCAACGCTGGTCAGTATGATGGACCGCCAAGAGCTCAGCTACTACTGCCTGCAGTTCAGAAGCCTTTGTAACCTCTACGTTTACAAAAATGTCACACCCTTGCCTGAAGAGCCTAGAAGTAAGTCAAAACTGCCCGTGCTTGTAACAGAACTGCAATCAGGCAACGCAAAGGACCCCGCGATCGCCGAAACCTGGCTCTGAGGCATGATGCTTCTCTGGGCTAGGCAACATCTCCGCTTGTCTGCCACACCGAACCTCGAAATTGGTGGCCGTGGCGGGCATCTACACTTGATCTAATCTGGTTCCCTCGAGGCTCAAGGCCATGGCCGAATTGGCGTGCTCTTTGTTACACAAGGTCCTTATGGGGCACACGGGATGTAGACCAGGCAGGCAATTGGCTCGGGCCCAGCCGTTGGCCGCAGCCCGAGTCGGGAGTACACAGAGCAAGTCGAGAACCAAAGGGCGCGTACCGTGCCATTTGTAGAAGTGTATGTTACAAGATGTTTTCGATGGCAGGCTAAGGTGGCAGGACACGTACTCATGCCATGATCCCTCGCTACGGAAATGTTCCAGTTGACGGACGGTACCTACATGGTATTCGGACGAGCAGGCAGACCCCCACCCAAGACAGCTGGCTGGGACCTCGATTGTGGATCTGTTGGAGCTGAAAGCTTGGCATCCTCCCACGCCTCAACGTGCCTTCGCTGGGGTCCTTGATTGGACGACATCGTCGGTTCCGAGGACGAAGAGCGTCTGACGGCTTTGCGTTCGGATCGAGAATCATCACCAACAGGCAGTTTGGTCCTATAGGTCTTTGTTGTCTCCGAATTTCGACATTTTGAAGTATCCTGCGTTACTCTCGGTACATCAACCCTGCAGTTGACGTGGGTACGCATTTTGTCATCGCAGCATGGCCCCAAACATGATCTTGAATCTTCAATATCTTCCGAAGCCACAGTCCATCGGATTCAACCCTCAAACAGCATGGCGCATCCTCATGACACTCGGAAACCCAGAGCATAGCCCCATCCACCGCTGGGCGCCTGACCCGATCCAGGCGTCTCCCCATCTTGTTCGACCACGTCCACTCAACCCGCCACGCTGGATATCAGAGGTCCCGTAAACCATGCAGGAATACATGCATTAGCATATTGGTTCTGCGGGTCACCCCCATGTTGGGTGTGGCCTCCACGCAACGTGGGTGGCCGGCCAAGTTACTTCACCCACAGTCTTATATCCTCCACCCGGCACGCGTCGACCCGTTATTCCCTCTGCTACATACACAGAACTTCATATCACGGAGTGACGATTTCTCTGCGACGTTGCTCGCTCGAGTCTCACGCAAAAACATGGCTCAAGCAAGGAGAATGCCCTGAGTCGTCAACACCGTATTACTCGTTTCACACCACCTTAGCCGGCCATGCCATAACCACCTGGTCGATACCCTGACAGGGCATTCCGCATCAACAAGACTACTTCGCAAGTCGAGCCCCTGGTAGCTCTCCATACAGGCTGCCATGGCCGTCTTATCACAGTACGATTATATCTTTGCTCTCTGCACCATCTTTTCCTTTCTCGACGCCTGGAACATCGGTAAGCCGCATGGTTTCTCACAAGGTTCACAATGTCTCATGCGTCTGCGATCTGGCATCTGGCGGGATTCCCGGTCCTGCCGGCAACGTGGCGTTGACTCCGGGCCACGAAATAGGTGACACCAGCGAAGGGCCTCGAGTACAGACGCTAACGACACGATACAGGAGCAAACGATGTCGCCAACTCCTTTGCAACGTCCGTGTCTTCACGGTCGTTGACGATGAAGCAGGCCATGATGATTGCATCGGTCATGGAGTTTAGCGGATCTGTTGCCGTCGGATCGAGGGTCACCGACACGATCCGCACCAGGATCATTGACCCCCATCTGTATGACGAATACCCCAGCGTCCTCCTGCTAGCCATGACATGCACCATTGTCGCCTCCTCCGTTTTTCTTACTTTTGCCACGAGGCACGGGTTTCCCGTCTCCACGACGCATTCTCTCATTGGAGGCCTTGTAGGTGCCGCAACAGCCTCTGTCGGCATTGAGAAGATCAATTGGTCCATTCGGGGCGTTTCGCAAGTTTTTGCTGCTTGGGTCATTGCGCCAGGAATCTCGGGCACGATAGGCGCCTGTCTCTTCCTCTTCACCAAGCACATTATCCTGACGAGGCAGAATGCGCCGCGGAAAGCATTCTACACGATTCCCATCTACACCTTCGTCACGATAGGTGCTATCACGAGTCAGTGCCTTCTGAATGCAGAGAGGTGGACGACCTTTGACCTATCGACTGACCTGAGTAGTGCTTATATCCTGGAAAGGGGTGCAAACGCGTGTCGACCTCACGACGAAGCAAATCCTCAAGGCAGTCTTCATCACTGCTGGCGGAGCCACCGCTCTGCAAGCCTTCTTCTTCCTGCCATTCATCTGGCGCAAAGTCATGACGGAAGACTGGCAGCTACGCTGGTGGATGATATGGCGTGGCCCGTGGCTGTTATACATGCCGCTGCCTCCGCCGCCCCCGGCTGGCGTGTCCCGCCTCAACATTAAAGATTATTATCGCGGCCACCTCACTGCCGAAGAGCTGGCCTACATGCGTGCCTCGGAATCTCTCCTCAGCTCGGTTCAGATGAGCAGCAACGCCTCGGAACTCGACAAGGACGACGACTGCTCTCAGCGCCACATACTCCCTCCGCCCGCCCTTCCCCTGCCGGGCAGCGCTCCCGCGAACCACAACGAGCTCACGCGCGCTCGCACGGCCAACGACGAGCTCATCCCGCCACGCCCGCCGGGGCCCTGGAACTCGCTCCGCGTCCTCGGCTGGCGCGTCAACCGCGTGCTCCTCCGCGGCCTCGAAAAGGACGTCATCGCCATGCAGCAGCGCAAGTCCATCCTGACGTGGCACATTGAAGACATGCACGCGCGCGCCGCGCACTACGACAACCGCGCCGAGTACATGTACTCGGCGCTCCAGGTCCTCACGGCGTCGGCGGCGAGCTTCATCCACGGCGCCCACGACGTCAGCAACTCGATCGGCCCGTTCACGACGGCCTGGTACGTCTGGCGCACCGGCGACGTGCCGGACGCGGTGGGCGTCCCCGTCTGGATCCTGGCGTTCGGCGGCGCGGCCATTGTGCTGGGTCTCTTGACCTATGGCTACCACGTCATGCGCAACCTCGGCAACAGGCTGACGCTCATCTCGCCGAGCCGGGGGTTCTGCATGGAGCTCGCGAGCGCCGTGACCGTGCTGATTGCCACGCGGTTGAGGCTGCCCATATCCACGGTGAGTGTTGGGAGGTCTGCAGCAGCAGTTTTCTTCTTGGCCTTGATTGCTGACCGGGTCTTGGGGCAGACGCAATCCATCGCCGGCGCAACGGTGGGTGTCGGACTCGCGAATGGAGACTGGCGATGCATCAACCCACGTCTTGTGGCGTGGATCTACTTTGGGTGGGCGGTCACCGTTCCGGTAACTGCTCTGATGAGTGGGTGTCTCATGGCGTTGATCTTGAATGCCCCCCGCATGACGCCGGCGACGTGATGCCCCTACGTGGAGTGGCGGATTGCGCCCCGGTCGAATTGGGGAGGATTGGTCGATGGAAGTATATCAATGTGTGAAAGTAGAGGGAAGACCAGGTATGAACATGTTTGATTTCTTGCAGCGGTTTCAGCGGGTTGACAGTTGGGATCAGGTGTTGAAGGGGGATATCCAGCGGCGACTTGCATGGTGTCACGAGAGGACTCGACGGCAGCAAGCACTTGAACGCCGTAGGAGCATTTTTCCCAGGAAATATTCTGGGAGTACATCGAGGAAGTAGAATGAGATCATCACTTCGAGTACCAGGCATCAACCGAGGCGAAGAATGCACTGGAACATGTTGACTAAGGTACCGACAACACCATACCGTCGTGACCACGCAAGCGCAAGACGTGTACCAGCTCTCTCGATCAAGGCTCCTCCTTCCCCCCCAACGCACCGCCAACCCGCCTCACCTCGTGAATTTCTTCGCCTCCGCCTCCACCTCCTTCGCCTTATCCTTCACATACCCCTTCGCCTCCTCCGCCTTGTCCCCAACGAGCACCTGCGTATCAATCGTCTTCTGCCGGACCTTCTCCGCCTTTCTCGGGTTCGACGTAAAGTACACGACGCCCCCGCCGACAACGACGGCCACGGCGCCCATGGCGGCAATGGAGGGCCTGCATCGAGTTCAGAGCGTGAGCACGGCGTCAACAGAGGGAGAAAGAGGCATGGGTCGGGGGTCGGGGGTCGGGGTTACGTACCAGTCTTGCAAAATGGTCGCCTTGCGCGGCGGGGGGTCCTGGCCGCCGGGACCGCCGAGGTCGTCTTTTGCGTCGCCCGTGTTGACGACCTTGCGTGGCGCGGCCGAGGTGTGGAAGGTTGCGGCCCGGGGAGGGCGGGCGACGAGGGGGGTGAGGGTGGTGACGGCTCTTGCGATTCGGAGAGACATGGTTGCTTTGGATGGAGGATGGTTGGACGTTCTTGTGGATGGTATTTGATTGAGGGACTACTCGATCGTGCAGGATGCTGTATTGCCATCAATCGAGGTGTTCTCTGTTCTCTGTTTGTTGTAGGTGAGAGGAAGAAGTCGAGGAAGCGCATTCCAGGACCTTGGGACCTTGAGCAGGAGGCCTTGCGTCATCGGGCCATCACCGATGACGACGGGCGCTCGGCCCCGCGGAATCCACATGTTCGGCCCCTTGTCTGGGGGAACACGCGGCGTTGCGTCTCCGCAGCGTCGGAATGGAGACGAGCGGCAATCATGGCTTCATGGCTTCATGGCACGGTATGGGAGTCATGGTGAGATGTTGACTACGATCAAATCGCTGTTTGCAGTACATAGTGGGATGGAAAGTGGCAATCACCCAATCTTGATCTGCTTGCACCAGTCCCGTCCCTGCGACACCTGCCAGTCGCACAATCGCACCTCGACAAAGATGCTCAGCAGCCCTGCTATGCAGATGCCGCCGCTGTCACTGACGCTCGTGGCGCTGAGGCTGAACTCCCGCTGCTCGCTCGGCACCGTGTCCATGATTTCGGCAAACGTGTTCACGTAGACGGCGCCACCAAGGAGACCCTCCCAGAAGATGATGATGAAGACGACATACACGGTGGGGATCAAGTTGAGGACCGCGTGCGCCGTCAGGAATCCCAGGTTGCCGATCTGCAAGAACGACGGGACATACAGGTGGTGGATGCGGATGAACGGGATCGAAGACCGGGAGATGAAGACGCCGAGCTGGTAGAGGAAGCCGTACATGGGGTAGAACTCACGAAGCTCCTTGAACGGCGTGCCGGCAAGAGGGAACAGCAGCGTGGGTGCGACGCCCTGGTTGATGGTGTACTCGGCAATGTACACGAGGAGAAGCGGCAGCATGTAAGGGAAGAAGAGCTTCTTCGCCCGGCGCAGGTTTGCCTTGAGGGACGTCGTCGACGCGGCCGCCGTGCCCTCGTGGGAAGAGTACGCAGCCGCTGTGGATGCAGGACCCGGAGCGAGAAGAGCGGACGACGCAGCCCCCTGTGGTAGGTCCTCCAGGTCATCCTCGTCGAGGTCCTGGTCCTGGTCCTGGTCCGGCACTGCCGTGTAGTCCTTGTCCTTGGCGTTCTGGCGGAGAGGCCCCTTGGGCAACACGACGAAGAAGCTGAAGAACATGACGGCGGGGAGGCACGCACTGAACAGCAGGGTATTCTGGACGCCAAACCCCCACCAGTCCGTCATGGCCACGTATAGTCCTGCGCCCACGAGGCCCGCGGCACCAGTGCCGCTACCCCAGCCGGCGAGGCTCATGGGTCCGTAGTAGTGTGTCAGGCCGAGGAAGCTCAGCTCGCCACCGCCCGAGCTGAGAGAGGCGAGGATGACGCCGGCCATCTTGACGGGGACGGATCTCGAGGGCGGCGTCAGGGCGAGGAGCAGCATGCCGGCGCCGGAGAGGCCGATGAAGACGAGAACGCGCAGGGAGTATGGCACGCGATGGATGAAATATGGAGCCATCAGCTTCGTGATGAAGGAGGGGAGCACGTCGGCAAGGAGCACGACGCCTTTCGGTACGTTGGAACCGACGAGGTCCTGGGCCGCGGAGAGGATGATCACGTAAAGAACATTATTGATGAGCCCTGCGAGGAGAATGTCAGCCGACAGTCGCACAAGAACCACACACCAGGAGAACTGTACCGAGAAGCCAAAATGCGACGATAACCTGCGTGTCAGCTTGGCGGAAGAGGGTAGAGAGGCGTGCACGATACAGCGCCCACGACGAGGAGGCCGAGCCGGGCATGGGAAGGAAGCCTGAGGACGAAGGCGACCGTCTGGGCATGGTGATTTGGGCGTTGGGCGAGACGGGAAGGTCGATGAACGATGCATTGGGCGTTCGACGTTCGACGTTCGACGTTCGACGTTCGACCACGAGCAGCGTCACAACTTCAGAGGTTGCGCGCACCGCGGTTGTTTCGTCTGTTGGAACATGATTGTCCTTGATGGGAAGCAGCTTCCTGGATGGGAAGCAGCTGATGATGAGGCACGAGGTCTGAGCACGGGCCATCTCTCATCTTTCACTGCTACTGGCCTTATGTAAGCTTTCATCCTCACGTCGTCGACTAGGTAGTACCACAGGAAGACAATTCCGTGCCACCCGACGTATCACCTGTTTCACTGGCGAAATAAAGCTTGAGCAGGCAAAGTGGCATCTAAATTGATGTACATCTCTGCATATATCTGCAAGCAAAGCAACTACTCAAACAAGATTGACATGTAGTACGCTATAGATGTAGTGTCAGGAGACCAGGAGACGCCTGTGGATTCACGGTGCAAGGGGCTAGTCAGGGGCTAAGGTCTACGCGAGCGTATATATAAGCATCGCGGAGGGCCCTCTAAGCTGCGGAGGACCAGAAGTCAGACATGTTATACTCCTAGGTCTATTTTCAGTTGACTGCCGACTATGTACAGAAGACCTCTACACTCTGCTCCAAATCAGGCACTGATATGTAATGTACTTTGTGTGCCTCCGTCACGTATTCGATGTTCCAGGTCGTATTCATAGTAAAGAGTTTAGATAGACAAACATACAAATATGAACTTGGTAATGACAAAACTTGTGGTATGATTTCAAGTCAATCTTCGCAGCAAACAAGTCCTCCCACAACGTAGAAATACCAACTTCATACTCTCGCACAACTACCACCCACCGCTTCGATTAATACCTCCTCTGGCAATCTCTCCTCTGGCAATCTCCCCTTTGGCAACCTCCCCTCTGGCAACCTCCCCTCTGGCAATCTCCCCTCTGGCAATCTCCCCTCTGGCAATACCACACAACGTCTCAGCATCCCATTACTGCCCCTTCGGACCCAATCGATTCTCCGTCTGCCCTTCTCACACGTTGTTCTGAGCAAAATTGCTTCTCATCTGGCTCAAAACGCGAATGAACGTAGGCAGGCCCATTTCAACATACACAACGTCCGAACCGACCTGGATGCGAGTGCTCGCACGCTGACCATAGACTCGCACATGAGACCTGTATCTCTGAGGTGAACAAGCCTCGACGAACCCGGCGACGAAGCCACCCGCCAAAGACCAAGGATGGTTCGCCGGAAGATTGACGCCTGCCGCGAAAATAGTCGACTGATTGTTCCATCCAAATGCGATCTGCGGGTCGCCTTGCTGGTACGAGCCGAGCATGTTGACGCCCGCCGCAGCAAACCCGAAAATAGACTGGACGTTGGGGACTCCGTGGGGCACGGCGTGTTGCCCTGCAGCGAAGGCCGCATTGTAGACCGAGAAGCGTTTCCCGATCATGTTGTAAGCGAGTACGCCGGCATTGCTAGCCTCGAGATCAACTGCGTTGTACGCGTTGTTTTCACTGTTGAGTGTCGTGTCCCAATTCACAAATTCATCATCGGCATTCAGAAGGTTGCGCTCGGTCTGCGAGAGCCGCGGCCAACCCTGGTTGACCGGAGGAAGCAGAGCCTCCGTGCTGCCCCCCTTGTTCTTGGCGAGGTCAGCCAGCGCATTCTGGACGATGGGCGTGACGGCTTGAAGACACTGGAGCAGCCTTGATGACGACAGGCCCGACGGTCTTGACGACGGATTTGATCATGTCGAACAGGCCCTCCTGCTCGAGCTTCTTCACGGGCGTGTCCATCAGCGTCAGAAGAGCCGCCTCGCCCAGAATGGCACGCTCAGTGATGCCGCCCTTGAACTTCCATCCCTGCGGATCCTGGAAAGTCGATTCTGTGCCTCTGGGCTTGACGAGATCATGGAAGTCCTTGATCGATTGGTCGAGCGGCCGCACGTGAACTCGGAGGCCTTTTCGAATGACCTGTCCCGGGCCATCCGTGACCTCCAAGAAACCCTCCGTATCACTCTCCGTGAGCTTGCTACCAAGCGTGGTGATAAAAGCTTCGTGGTTTGGGTTGGGGAGCTTGGGCCCGAAGCCGGCGACCTTGGTATCGTTGCTGCGGCCAGGCCGGAGCTTTGGAATCTCGCTCTCCGTGCCCGGGGGCTTCGGGATGTTGCTGAGGGCAAGGCGCAGTGCGGGCTCTGCGACAGCGCCGACAATCTTGGGGCCAATTGTCGTGACCAAGGGAGCAAGCTTCTTGACATAGGCACTCATGCTGTCAAAGAAGCCTTCCTGCTGGCACTTGTCATTGCCCATGTGCTTGAGGCATGCGATGGCGGCCTCGCCGAGAACAGCCCGCTCAGCGATGCCCTCGTGCGCGTACTGAGACAGCTTGCCAATCTCGGCTTCCGTGCCCCCGGCGCCTCTGGCAGCGAGCTTGCCCGCGGCACCGAGGGCCGCGCCGGCAAGGGCGGCAACGGGGACGCCGACGGGTCCGAGTGCAATGGGCAAGGCCACGTCAAGGGCGCTCGTGACGACAGGTGCCACAAAGTTCACAGCCTTGTTCAAGAAGTCGAGGAAGCCTTCTTCGACGCCAGTGATGTTGCCACCCAACGTTCCCGGCCCCCCGCTGCCGGGCAGTAGGGCCTCTCCTCCGTCCGGTCGGGGGCCTGGTGTTGGCTTCGGCGTGGGCGTGACCTTGGCCTCAGCTGGCACGCTGAAGATCTTGAGCCATTCCCTCTGGGGCCCCTCAACTGGCTCCGAACGGACCCGAGCATCAGGAGCGCCGTTGTAGACATCGAGGGCGCTGAGGTATTGCTCAAAAACATTACCTTCAGGGCCAATGACAGACGCCGAGTTCTTTGATCCTCCATAAACGTGCACCCCGATGGCTGTCACGTTTCTGGGATCCGTGGGCCTCTCCAACAGAACGGGCGAGCCTGAGTTGCCTGAAAATGTCAAGGCCAAACCCACTCGAATTGAGACGGCATCTTACTTACCTCCGTAGGTATCAATGGTGTATTGAAGGAGACCTTCAGGGTTGCTGCTGCTAAGTCTAGTGTCCCACGACTCGGCATCCTTGAGGTACATCTCCCACATGACGGCTCCCTTCTCGTCGCTGTGTTGGATGTCGGGGTTGAGTAGGTCACCAGGGTACCCAATGACACCTAGTTTTGCCTGGCTAGCGATCGGTGTCGGACTGTACTTGATCGGGTCCACACCTTCAAAGCCCGACGACAGCTGGATGAAAGAAAGATCCGCGGCCTCGAAAGACCCATTGTTGTGCCAGCTTTCGGTCGTCATGACAGCCTTTCCGGTGCGAAACTCCACCTTGTAGTTACTGTAGATGTCACGGAACTTATCTTTGACATTAGGCTCGGGAGGCATGATGCTCTCCTTGCCACTGTAGCCAATATAGGCTTTGACGTGGAGCAGGCGGCCCAGCCCGTGAGAATGGTCATAGGCACAATGTCCCGCCGTCACCAGCAGGTCCTTGCGAATGAGCCATCCAGTTGCCATGGCCCAGGGGTCGTCTTCCGCTTGGTTCTCGAACCGCAGGAACAGTTTGACAATTGCTAATTCGCCATCGAACCGTCAACACCAAGCAGATATCATCAGGGGGGGAGGGAGGGTCCTCTCACCTCGATAGACGCCACCTGGCATGAAATCACGTTGGACGACTCGCTCCCTGTTGTCGGCGCCAATGACGCTCTCCTGAAAGCTTCCGTGGATCAAAGCCTCGGCATGCTCGGGGCGTGTAGGCGACTTATGCTCTTCGTTATCAAGCCCCCAAAGGTACACTCTAGTCCTGGGTTGGGCTTCAACGTCAGGGTGAGATGTGCCATTGGCACCGTTGATTCCGTTGATCGTCATGATTGAGAAAGTGATATAGAATGCAGATCTGAGTTTGGCTGAAGATAAAGGTAGAATGAGATGAGTCTGAAGAGACACGGCTGTTGAGGATGGATTGTCTCTCTCTTATAGGCACCGGCCGATGAACATTTCCCCTCTTCAACCAGAAGACCACTTCTCCTCTGCCTGGTCTGACTCCAGAGCTGAGGTCGTCCATCAAGGTGCGGTGATCAGTGCCTCATGGGTACACTGTTGCCCATCTCCATATCCAAGTACTGGGGGTTAGGTTGGTGGTATTCGCACAACCAAACTGTCACTCCCTGCTCCTACGAATTGGGAAGCTCAGCCAGCCAGCTTCTCTCAAAGTGCATGGCTAAGGAGGTAGCATTGGTCAAAATCTGGAAAATCCTGTGAAGTCAGCTTCGCTCTTAAGCAGATGTCTCGCAGCACGCGGGGTTATGACGCGGTGAGAGCCAGCTCAGCACTTGATGTGGTCAAGGTACAATTGCCCCCATAAGCCTTTCATTGGCCACTTGGTACTCAATTAGCCACTGAAGCAAACAAACAACACAATCATTCAAAGTCAACAGCCACTCTAGTCTTAGTTTCACCGACAATCTCAACACGACTTGGCTATAGGTGTGTCAACGGCAAGCACTATCGTTTTCCTTACTGAATTGGTGCACGATCTAGACCGAGCCCAAAGGAATGAAACCAGTGGCGTCAGCGGAAGCAGCGACTATGCTCACCACACACATGGGCGTCCAAGCTCGAACAGGCAATGCGAGCGGCATGAAGCCTAGCTGAGAGCCCTTCTCTGAGGACTTGTGAGCCAGCTGACGTCCCAAAGCAAGATCTGAGCTATTGGAATCTGAGTGTAGAAGCCCTTCCGTCAACTATTAAGGCTTCCCCATACATGAAATGTCTTACCGCACGGCGCGCACCGAATGTGCTGCTCAGCTATCAGCTTTACATTGAGTGCTGACATGCATGACGACTAGTCCATCGCGTCGGCCGATCGTTGCTCTCTGCCCTACGCATGGTGTAAGCGCGCGGGACCCCTTTAAGCTTAAGCTGTCTGAAATGGGACGTGGCGATTACTGTGCAATGTAATCCTCACGGCGTGTGGGCGCAGTCATGAGACCAGGGGTCCCGACCTAGGTATGGACTGGGACTGGGCCGCGGGGAGTTTATGCAGGCTGGGTCAATATTGTTCGTCGATTGAAGTCTAAATCTGCTGCCCCTCCTCCCATTGCGATAATACCCATAAATCTCGAAGAAAAGCACGCTAAACGATGGCCTTTGCAGATGATTCATGAGTAGACCTCTATGGCATCCTCCAACGCAAGTGTAATTGTCTCGACCGCCTCGTCGGCCTGGTCCCGGAGACTCGGCTCGACCCAACGCACCAGTGCATCGCTGAGTGACAGGTGATCCTCCAGCAGGAGTTCCAAGCCCAGCCTCGCGAAAGCCCCGGATTGCAGACGGTCAAAGGCAGGCTTCTTTCTGATGACAAGCTCCGTCGCCCGCGGGTTCGTGATCACCAAAGTCTGCTCGACCAAGTCGATGATGGCCTTAGAATCTTCCTTGGAGAATTGTGTTTCGATGCGTTTCGCATTCACAAAAGCTTTACGGTTGGCCGCGTGGACGTTGAGGAAGTTGGTGCCAACGATGACGAGTTTCGGGACGTCGAGTAACCCGCCTTCAAAGGGGTCGAGGGCCGAAATCAGTTTCTTGACTGCTGTATCGATTCCATTGATATCCCTGGCGACAGACTCGCGCGTGACTTGAATAGAACGCGAAAAGTCTTCGGAGAACTCAGTCGGGAGCGTGCTGGCGAAAGTAAGGGGCAGACACGCTAAGAAACCCAATATGCTGTGAAGGTGCATGACGAAGGCTGCGCGAGTAGCCCAAACTGAGCTGTAAGGGGCAATTGAAGGTGAGCCCGATGCAGCAGGTTTGCGAAGCATCTTATGTACCCAGGCTATTCGACGCGCCATGCAATATCATGCACGCAAGGGAGGTGATCAATTCCTCAACGCACCATCTCGTTGTCTCTGATCTGTGCGATTGGAACAAGGGTCCTTGAAGAAGACATGCGATGCAAGCTATGGCATTCCGACTCGATCGAGTGAGACATGCAGAGCGGGTGTCGAAGGCGTACACAGCCCGACTCCATCATTAGTAGACCACCAAGTGTCTGGTAGACGCAAGGATGACTGGCCAAGGGTGCCATGTATAGCAACTGGATTCTTTTGGGTTCATAACGTGAAAGCGACAAATTTAAACGATCGGGATCATAATCTGGGGCACCTTGGCTTACCTATTCTGTCGTCAGTGTTACTAATTGAGGTCAGATGGCCGCTAACAAATGCTGCACGTTGGACTTGGATCCCTGAACGCACAATCTGGCGGTACAGCGCGCAACTCACGCCATAGGAATGGCAGGGTTGCAGTCTCTAGCGATGACCTTTGGAATTGCGAAACGCTTCACCAAAACTTTGGACTCACATTTTCCTTGAGCCTTCGGCAGAGCTGGAACTCTGCGACAACCCAATCTTGCGGCCTGAATGCTGTCCTATGCCTCAGTTAGGAACAGCAAGGAGCGGCCAGGCACAATGGGTTAGTATTTCATCAAAAGATTCTCCCACACGGAGGCACACCACAGTGGTCACATGTTTGACATATTAGACATTAGTATCCGTTGCATCCTGGCTACCCCTGAGCTGGGGACTTTGCCCTCGGCACATGGGCGACATCAGGCTCTCGGACAACACTAGCGACATCTGTTTCCTTCGGCATAGCCGGCTGCTTGGACCTCTGCTTCTCCGACATCTCTGGCTGCTTCCCCATCACGATAGGCACAGCTGCATCCGCAGGTGGCGCCGCTGCAGGCCTCGCAGGAAGAGGGGGCGGCGGCTGTTCGGCCTCCACGTCCGTCGTCGTTGTCGTCACAGCTGGCACCTTGGGGAGCCCCGCACGGCCAACCACCAGCATGCCAGGAGGATGTTCAATTTTGCCCAACTCGGCCTCCTCCTTCCTCACGCGACGGCACCGCACGATCGCCCAGGTTGCGAGGGCCGCGATGATGAGACCAGTGCCGCCTAGACTGGCGCCGATGGCAATCTTTTGCCAGTCCTGCAAGCCAGATGGGTATTCCCAGTCATTGCCACTGCCAGGCCGCATGTCGCTGCACGGCTGGTACGACCAGCAGTTACGCTCCCCGACCTCGTCGGAGCTGGGGACGAGAGCGCCATAGGAATCGAACGGGACAATGTTGGACTGGCTGTCGCCTCCCAAAGATAACGGCGCCATGGCCAGTTCCTCGTTGGCCAGGTCGAACACGGTATACGTCTTCTTGAGCAAGGAACCCCCAATGACCCAGTCGCTGTCATTGGCGTCGTTGGCGGATCCCGACGACGTGTTCTGGCTCTGGATGCCGAGTAAACACAACGGGTTGGCCTCCTCACCATCCTCCAGGTACCAGCTGTTTGAGTCGAGAGGCCAAACGTCGGCAGGAATGATCAGATCCTTGAGGTCAACCGTCAGCGCGTAGCCGCCCACGCCGCCGAGCTCGAGGGCCACCTGGCCGGTCATGTTGTCCCGCCACGCGCAGGGGACGGTGGCCTGGCCGCTGTAGTAGTCGACCTCGGCGCGTGCCAGCTCCCAGATACGCTCGGCGATGCTCCACGGCAGGTTCGACAGCAGGGTCGGGGGTGAGACGGCAATGTACGTGCCCGTACCGAGGTTGGCGAGCGGCTGCAGGATGCGGTTCTCCGTGTCAAGGCGCGAGCCGTTGATCGAGGCAACCAGGGCGTAGAAGCCGACGTACTGCATGGCGTACTTGTAGACCTGGAAGCGCTGGAGCCGGCCGGTATAGCGGCTCGCGTCGACGGCGCCGAGGAGCAAGGAGCCGGAGGCGGTGTCTTCGTCTTCGGTCCAGAGGCTGAAGGCCGTCGAGTTGATGAGGCCCGTCTCGGTCATGCGGTCGAGGAACGAGGGTGTGCCGTAGGACGCGTTGTAGCCAAGGGCAAGGCGGCCGAGGCTGAGGTCGGTCTGGCGGCCAAGTCCCATGGTCAGGTTCGTAATGTCCGTGTCGCCGACAGAAATGGTCTCGCGAATGTCATCACCGCGAACATAGTACCCTGAGGCATAGAACTCGTCAAAGCTGTCGACGGCATCGCGGATAAACGTCTTGGACGAGAAGGTGTCGAAGCTGCCGTAGTCGCAGCCGCTCAGGAAGATGTTGCCGTCGCATGCTTCCTTGTCAGGCACCCAAGTGTTGTAGGAGTAGAGGTCGAGGGCCAGGGAGATTTCCTGAGGGGGGTTGCCGACGGTAACATTGACGACGTAATCGAGAACATCAGCAACAAAGTTGGTCTTGGTCTGCACTTGACGCCTTGGCGTGCTGGTGAAAGGAGCGCGATGCCGCGAGACGGGAAATTGGACCTGGGCAACAGCGCTGGCTACCAGGAGCAAGAGCAAAAAGCGAAGGGACGCCATCGCAAAGGAAGGCAAAAAAGAGTGTGTTTGGGCCAAAGCGTGGCTAGAGGGGGTGTTGCATGCTGCTACTCTGTTTCCACTGGAATGTAGATGATGATCCCCCTCAGTGTAGGGCTGATCATGGTGGAGCGCGAACTGCTGTGAAAGGCGAACAAAGGGTTTGAAGATGGAGGGAAGAGGGCGAGAGGGGGAGACCCAGAATGCCGACCCAGTCCGACCCAGTCCGACCCAGTCCTTCACAGGGGTCGCCCTGATGCTTGTGATTGACTTTCAGGGATGTTGGGCAGAGAGAAAGAAATGAGGGCGGGGGCTCGTCCACAGCCATCTTGGCCTGGCCTGTTTGCTGTGCCGCCTGCGCCCCACGCTGGCGCCTCCTGAGCTGCTCGGTGGGCGGCCTGGCTTCTCGGTGGGTGGCCTGGCTTCTCGGTGGGCAGCCTAGCTTTTCGGTGTGCAGCCGGGGTGTTCCTTCCCCTTTGCGCCCCCTCCATTCAGTAAGGTATCGGTAAGAAGAGGTGAGA